CCATTGTATGCTATCTTAAAGCAATACCGATTCTTTAATAACCATACAGTCTTCAACACTCAGATTTTCAGTGCTGAAATAAGTCGAATACGAAGGTAAACCGTGCCTATGAAGAATTATTGTTGTTGGTTTTTTTGTATGAATAGCGTTACAATAGTGTCTTCCTATGTCAAGAACTTGCTTTAAAGTTTTTTCTCTCTGTTTGATAGTTTATTGGAGCAATTGAGCGCCGATCGCATCGGAATTGCATTGGTTTTGCTCACTTTGCTCTGTGATTGGTTCAGAAAACTCGCGCCACTTTCTTGACCAATCAGATGCAAAACTGACACCAATCATGACCTGGGTCGCGTGCGTTTTCCCGCGCTTCACGCGGTTTGCTTGTTTTTACTTTGAGTTTTCATCAGCTCTTCAAGGTATTTTTCCTCTCTTTTGATTGGCAGTTGAAATTTCTTGTTTTTGTTTTTTTGTTTTTGTATTTTTTCTTTTTTACGACATACATTTGATCAAGAAGCGGCTTTTACTTAAAAATTCGTATAAGGAAAGGCATAAGACATAGTAGATCCTAAAAATTTAAGTTACAAAAGCAGAGTAGAGAGAAAGCTTGCGTCGAGAAAGACTGAATTGGGACCTCAATATTCGGGATGAAAAATATTTGTTTTAAGGGGATTTTGAAGTTGTGCTTCTTTGCCAAAAATGGAATTATAAATATTAACGGACACGTTTGTAGATAAGATAAGGGGATAAATAAATGGAATTCTACATATACATTTACACTAATCTAACAAGAAAAAAGACTTCTGAAGAAACAATATTTTATTGGCAAGCCTCGGCGAAAAGCGCCTATAATTTTCTTTAGGCTTATAGATCTATTTTAAAAAAAAAATTGACAAACGATAATGCATATTTAAAACCATGGTAATGATTTTGAGTTTTACGTAACTGTACATTAAATTTCGTCAAAGCAGGTGACATGAAACATTTCTGCTGTGTATATACCCATTAATTTAGAATAAATTTATGAAGAAGCTTTCAATTTCTGTGAGATAATTTCTTCTGCGTGAGAAATGTTGGTTCACTCAGAGCGAGTCCTTGTAAGGCAGCCCAGAAAAAAAAGGGATAAAGCAAACTGGTACAGAAATCTCTCGCTTTATCGCTAATTATTTGTCTGTTTTTCTATCACTTCAAACACGGAGGTAATTATAATAATTTTCGAGGTGACTTCTCAGCCTATGTTAGCTGCAAATATCAGCAACAGGAAAAAGGTGATTGTCTCTTTCTTCATCCTTCAGAGGTTCGATAGGTCGTCCACAAACGACATCTTTGTCTTTGTAATATAACCTGACAGAGGACGAAGAAACAAGGAAATTGTTAAAGAAAAGTATTCATTGGTTTTGTTACGAGCGTGGAAAAAAAATAGCAACAATTAAGTTCCCTACATGGGCTGGAATCTCAGACATTCGGATTTCGAGCTACAATTTTCTACCACTGAGCTACAGTAGTAAAGATCTTGATGAGGTGAGCTTGGTTGTTGCTAAGTTCACGCGAGAACCAAAGGAATTGTTAAAATTTGTTAAGACGATCACGTAAACATCGCAACAACCAAACATAAATACTTAGAAAATGCGCAATATAATTGGATGTGTGATAAGACTATATAAATTGCCCCTTTTGGCTTATTATTGGAAAATTTAAAACGCGTGATATCATTTGTATTTTTTTTTTTTTCATTTAACTGCATTTATGGCGTAATTTACCTGGCTAAAAATGTCATTTACAATAGATGAGACTTGAAGAAACTATTTTCAAAAAGAAAGAGAAAATATGTTCGCGTGCTTCGAAAAACCATGGAGCTCAAAGCGGCGGGTTTAGCAAGAATGAATGAATATGGAATGAATACCTGCATTCTTTCGGAAACGATCGTAAAAGTTTCGAAGATATTAGAAAGTAGCTTAGAAACACTCCTCTACGAACGCATTTCTGTTAGCAGTACAGTTGAGCCCTGATAACTCGAACCCTAGGTAACTCGAATTCCCCGCTACCTCGAAGAAAAACTGATTTCCCTTGGATTTGCCTCTACATTTACTGTAGTTTTAGCCCCTATAACTCGAAACCCCGATAATTCAAAATTCCCGCTAGCTCGAAGCGTTTTACTTCCCTTCCGGTCCTTTTTTTAGTCGTAGTAGTAGCAAGTAGGAATATTGTAAGAAATATACAACTTTTTTTAGAGACATCTGAACGTGAGTAATTATATAACGGACAAGTAGATGAATAAAATATTTACAGTATGATGTAATACAAAAGCGGGTATTAATAACAGCGCGACAACAAACATGAAATTAAAGGTGTGAACTAAAATGCTAGAAAAGTGTTATAATGCTGTAATTGTTTGTTAAGTTCAGGTTTGATCTTATTTATAAAAAAAGCTTCTTTGAGTTTTAAATCAATTGAGTTGTTGGCGCGTTTTTATTTTTAAAATTATCAACATCTTGATACACAGGAGCTGGTCAAGACCGATTTCCAACGTTTTACGGGAATTGGTAATTTTATTAGGGCAAACAAGGAACAAACAAAAGTGTACGTGACATACAAACAACCAGGCTGCCAAAAGACCGTAATTTGAAAAATGCATTGTAGACCTCTGTCGAAAATAAATTTGCATCTTTCAAATTTGC